GTGTGCCTTAAACAAGTATAAACCACAGACTGTCTGTGTCATGGCGATTACAGTCGCTGCTTTATTTATGTCTGTATGCAGTTGTTGTGAGTGTGGACGCAGCATATACAACATTAGTTTAGCCTGATCGATCCGATCTCCATTCAATAAACACGCATTTTAAAAGGTTTTTCGCCTGCCGTCTTGTCTGCAGACTTGTCAAAGCATTAATTCATGGTTTTTACTAACCGACAGTATGTTGTTACTTTGGCATCATTTTGAAACGTGTATTACAATTAAATCACGGTAAAATATGTTCATCTTGTTGTAGTTGTAGCCCCCTGGCCAGCGCATCTTGTTTGAATGATGCGAGTAAACACAGCTGACAGCCGCGGTGAAACTCGAGCTTAGAGCGATGCGATAAGAGCGATTAGAGCGAAGCGAATGTTCGCATCGCGTCCGGTGTGAACGCAGCATTAGGAGCGGGACCTTTATGACACATCTCCAAGTGGTTGACAAATCACAACAGAGTCGACCAGCTAACCAATCAGAGCAGACTGGGCTCTGGTTACAGACAGAGGGTGAAAAGAGGTGCTGCAGCACAGGCAGTTTGAGAAAAATACCTTTTAAAGTAAACATGTCACAATAGAGACACAAAACACAAATATGAACCTGAAAATTAGCATATGTGCTCTTCAACACAAACAAGCTAATTAAGCAAGAAGTATCTCACCAATCTCTAAAATGACTGATATTGGCAATGTAGTCTGGTGGCTTTGAAAAGAGAATACATAGGGGCTATGTTTCACGGTGAATGTTTCATTCCTGCTTCTCCGTCCACAGCAACATATTGCTTAGCTACTGTGTGGGAACTCAATTTTTCCAAACTGGGGATCTGCTGGCTGCCATCTACTGTTCACTGTCTATGGATAAGTTGTGAATACAACCCCCCTTCAAACATCTAAACTACCCCTAATAGCAAAGCAACGTGTTTGTGTATACATGCCTGACAGCGACAGGTGTCGATGGAGGCCAGGTCTAAGCAGTTTCCAGACCTTCATGGTGGCTGTGTCCATATCTCCTGATGAGACGGGGTTAGTGCTGGTAGGGGATTTCGCAGGTGGGGTTTCAGTTGACCCCACCCTCCTGATGGGGATACGGCTCATGGTAGGTTGCAGCTCACACCTGGGGATAAAGAGAGGTTGATATTGTTTTTAGTCATAGCAGGGATACATGTTTAATGGAGAGAATGCAGAAGTAATTGCTTAATCATAATTTTCTTCAATATTTTGCACTGTTTTTAATGCTATGTGTTTATGGACTACTGCAGGAGTGCGGCCTAAAACTCGGAAATTAGTCAACTTTTATGCACCTCCTGTTCCCTTGTCTTTTAGTCAATAGTTTTTATGTGTTTTTATTGTTAGATACCTGGAATACGTTTTGTGGTTAAATTCAGCTTTGGAGAATTCCCATTGGGTTTTACAACATAAATGATGACGGTAAAAATCATACTCCTGTTATTTTTATCTTCCGAGTGGTGCTGATGTGAAATTCTTGCAAACCATGGTTACGTTTTAAAGCATAACATCAACTTTTTACCTGTTGTGTTTGAATTTGCATATTATAATTCATAAAAGTGGTGCTTATTTATGATGGTTTATTTCCTATAACTAAAACTTCTAAGCATCTTTTGGTCTAAAATGAAATGGAAAAACCCAATTGGCCTTTTTTCGTCATTCCTGCAGCTTTCTATACCAACCCTGGTTTGACTGCTTTTTTGGTTAATAATGTTTCCTGTGCGATTACAAATCTCTAAGATACATAGACAAGATAGGACTCACTTGCTACATTTGATGGAGGAAAGGATGTGATCAGGCCCCAGGTCTTTAGCAGTCTGTGACAGATGGAGACATTACAGTGAGGTTCACTGGTTATACAAGACATGAGGAGAATTTGAATGAGCTACAAAGGTCAGCTAACCTCTGTGCACGCCTCTAGGGTGTGATGGGTGATTGTGAGACCCCGGCATCCTTTCCCAAAACGCCCAAGACGTATGGGGAAAGGTGTTCCTGACCAACCTGCCAAACTGGGTCCTCCACTCTGAAAGTCTGGGCAGCTGAGGCCTGTTAACCACATAAAGGACATACGAATAAACAAAAAAATGATAAGGGAAAGGAAAAGCAGTGGTTGGCAGATGAGTAACACAAAGATGGACGCCATTGTCATGCTAAAAAAATGTTTTACAACAACATGTATCTATTACAGTTCATTCTCTTTATATTACATACAGGACATAAAAAGCATGACTAAAAGAGCTTCAAATCTAAAAGAGGTTTGACTTCTTAGCAATTTTGAGCGTTTCTGGACAACAGACACAAACAGAGTGGACAGACATTAGAGGACACACACAGGAGTTGCTTCACAAAGGGATAGTTTTTATTCCAGAGGTTAAACAGAGAGGCGGTAAAAGACAGCAGCACATTCAAGAAGGTGGTAATCTGTTACACAGACAAACACTTAGTACCAGCCTTAGTCTGGTATAAAAGGTCAGCACCACACTGATGGAAACGGCACACTTCTCATGAGGAGTATAAAGCAGAAAGACCTGGTGAGAATGCATTCAGTGTTTCCACCTAAAGCTTTGTGTTATTCCTAAACATATTAGCTTTAGGAGGGAAGCAACTGGGGAACAGGACTTCACAGTTCACAGTGAGAAAGCAGAATAAAGCTACAATACATTCTTCAGGTCACTGATCCTAAATGTGTTGAATTCAATGGGTAGAGGCTACATTGAAATCATCCTCTTAGTTATATTAAAAGAAGCCATCCGTACTCCAAAAGAGCATTACATTTGCAGAACGTGTTGGATCAGTCCAAGATTTTTCTTCCAGGCTTATATTACCTTTCTTTTTTAAACATTTACATTTATGTCAGAGAGAAAATGCAGCAAGAGAATTACTGGTATCATTTTAACATTCTGCTCTATTGGGAAAAGGTCATCAAAAGTCCTATATACGTCCCTTGATCTTAAAAGGGACAGTTCAACCTAAAATCCAAAATACACATTTGTTCTCTTAAAGGTGGGGTATGTAATTTTGGAGAAACCAGCTTGAGTGCGCAAGAATTTGAAAATACACAACCGGAAAAAATCTGCCTCTTCCTTCAGACTTCCTTACAGAGCCCCTCCTCCAACACACGAACGCGCACATGACCAATGAGGGCACGAGATAAGTTTGTACACAGATGGAAGGCTGACAGGCAGGTAGGCCATCCAGTTATTTTAGCCGGGCCGGCTAAAATGATTGGTCGTGCTTTTTACAGCACTACGGCTTCCACAGATGACATTTTTTAATGGATTTTTTGTCAAAGCACTTAAGATATTAATTGCTATCAGGATGTTAAGAGCATTCCATGGAATATAACAAAAAGTGTTTCTGAAATAAATTACATACCCCACCTTTAACTAAAGTGCTATTTATTAATGTAAATTGTTATAGAGTGAGTTGTCGAGATATCAGTCGTAGAAATGCCAGCCTCTTTGAAATAACAATGACGCAATAGAAAAACATTTATTTCTAGGAATTATGACCCATCTTTACTCTGGATATCTCCAAAAATCATTAACTCACAGCAAAAAAAGCACTACAGGTAAACTGAACGGTTCCTTTAATGTCCAAATAATACTGCAGTTACAGAATATATATTCTGCCTGTATCCCTTAAAAATTATATAAAAAGATAATTGGTAAATAATCCCTTTTTTCACTTTACGTTTCCCCAAAACTTGGCAAAGCGGACAAATCAAAATATAATCCAAGAGTTTTGGTCAATAAAAAGAAACATGAGCAGATCCTCTAAAACCTCCTACCTACAACAGACACCAGAACAAGGCAAACCATGTCACACAGCACTGGAGCGGACCTATAGCGAGTCAGTACCAGATCATCTGAATTTGTATCTGTTGGATCAAATCGATATATGATCTGTTTAACCAGCTGCTCATTAAACTGCTCAAAAGGGCCCTTCCGTAAACACAGACCACTGAGGAAAGCACACAAAGCTGAATTACAGACAAAATACTATAATCCTACAAATAATCTATAAGGCTAACATGTAGACCAAGACAACAAGACATGTTCTAACCTCTGCTAACCACAAAATAAATAAACTTTGACCATCGACAGCCTACTAAATACCTGCCAGGTTCAACATACTTTAGGTAACACACAAATGTGCTTGAATAAATAATGAGCAATGTTTTCTTCACCACTCTGATGAAACAGGTAATAAAAGTTCATTGTATTAGAAAATTCTAAACACAGCGTCATCCAAAAGCTTGAAACACATTTTTTTTTAAATGATATTGCTTGCTGTCAAACAGCTCCATAAAGCAATCTTTTTATATATAAAGATTATCAGCGATGGTCAACATTAGGCTTCTGGCAGTAGGCTACGCCGTGAACATCATAATGTGAGATCTAATATTGGACTGACAGAGGAATGACACAGGTTTCAGCACTATCAAGGAAATGAATAACAAACGAAAAACAAAACCACAATCTTTTCAAGATAAATGTGGTTTTCAGTCACTAAACTTACATTTTTCCTTACTTTTTCCTTACATTTTGTCAAAAAATTCGTCAGACCTTTCTGAACTGACTCCAGATGTGTGTGCTCAGCTTGCTTTACAATAACATTACTGTTGGGAAAATACACAATTGAATCTTCCAATATCAGAGTAGCACATGATAACAACTGTAACTGTGTACGTAACCTAGAAGAGCATCAGGACACACTGTTTTTGGCATACTGTATGATAAGCTATGGGACAACGATTAAAATGATGATGCAGCCTCTGTGGAGATAGACATATGACAAGCATCATCATCTCTGACGTGGGCCTTAGCTAATCTAAACTAAACATTGTATACTGATTTGAACCGGTATTCCTCTATCTTGTGTACTGTGTATAGAAGCATGTGGAGGACATTGTTCAAGCCGGTGACGAGTGATATTTTTCTAACATAATTATTATGTTAGAAAATATCACTCGTCACCAGCTTGAGTTTCAATATCAGGATACATGTATTTATTATCCTTGCAAGAATGGAAGTAGTCATCACATACAGAGCGTATGGGACAACTAGTTCCTGAACAGTGTCCTTTAGATTAGCTAANGGCGGCGCGCATGAAGCGGTTGATGCGAATGCCGCGGCGCGATTGAGGCGATTGAAGGAGGCCGCGACAACCGCTCAAGTTACATTTTTTAAACTCGACCGTCAAATTCGTGTGACGCGATCAGGCGGTAGCCAATCAGCGGGGAGGATCTCAGCCTGCCGTCAGTGATGTTGAACCACAAAACCAAAACATCAGCCGTTAGCTGTTAGCACTCTGGTCGAGTTTAAAAAATGTAACTTGAGCGGTTGTCGCGGCCTCCTTCAATCGCCTCAATCGCGCCGCGGCATTCGCATCAACCGCTTCATGCGCGCCGCCGGAGCGAATTCGCGTCCGTCCGCGTCTGTCTGCGTCTGTCTGCATTGACTTTACATGTAATCGCGCCGCCCCCAAACATCGCATTGCGTCCGGTGTGAACGCAGCATAAGCCTATCACTTACAATGTGTTGGAGCGCTTGCCAATAGAAACGCGACTGTTACATAGTGATGTCAATATGTTACGGAAGAAAACCAAGGAATCCAATGGAGGAACTTCAGGCAGAGGGGGACTGTGGGAACTTTGGGATTTTAGCCTTTGCAGCCCATTTACAAGTGCAAAAATATAACATACTACAGGAAAGGCAAATCCAAAAAAACACAAGAGGGCCTCTTTAATGTGTAACTTTATTATTTTAAAGGGTTTGTTTTTGATTCACCAGAGTCACACAGTGATTAAATGTACATACATACTGTGGAGGAAACTTCTGTAGCAATTGGAAACAGGACTCAGAGAGAGAGACGAGGAGAGCTGGAGCTTTGATGGCAAACACTGACGGTTTATTTGGAGCTTCGGCCGGAGAATTCACAAAACATGTCACGGGACACAATCTGACCACACGGTTGAGATGCCACAATCAATTCTGAAGAACTCTACCCCAGTCCCATTTATTTAGCTAGTTCTGAGAGACTAATCAACATTGTGCATTACAAGATAGAAGCATAACACCTCTATCAGCTGACGCCAACAGGCAGGAACAGGGAGACAAAACACTGATCAGTCAGGTCAGTATAAACTGATAAACTGAGTCAAAGTTATGGGGCTTTGGAAAGTATTTCCCCAACACATACCACATACTTAAACCACTCAATATGGCTCCTTTATTAACAAGTCTCACAGCGTTACAGAAGATACATGAATTGCTGCTTGGTACAGCTTTATAACTTCTCTCTTATTGTATGTAAACCACACACACAGTATACATCGACTTCATATCACTTTTATTTCCCTCTACAGGTGTATCCGGAAAAGATGGTGGCATGCAGTTGGCCTCTAAAGCACTAATGACGAAAAGCCCAGAGATGAGTCTCAGCTACAAAGGAAACACTATCATAGAAACCGCACATGAGACGGATGAAACGGAGCAAGAGGTGAACACAGTTTCAACTGTCACATCAAATTAATGTAAGAGGGAGGTTGAACATGAATGACTCAAACTGTGTGATGTTGTCTTCAAAGGTTGAGGAAGCTCCAGTGCTGCCCCTGCCAGAGACTGTGAACATGTGTGAGACAGTGACCCTGTGTGGAGAAGCCTGAGTACTGCACAGAAGAGGAGACGCTTGTGTATGTCTCTATTTGCTGAGCCTCACTTACTGTAATGTGACCAAAACCCATTTAGAACTAGGAATCAGGAGGGGGCACTGTCATCACGGGAGGATTATTTGAGGCATCTTAATGTGCAATGAAACATAATGTAACATTATTTATTCAGATGTTAAACATGATCAGACTGTTGAGCTGGCAATAGGCAGCTTTACTGGAGCAGCTGGAGGTGTAGTGCCTTGCTCAATGAAACCACAACAGTTGCAGAAGTAGGGGGGAGTTAAAAACCTTCCTTATCAAAGAATCCATAGACTTTTAACTCTTAAATAGCACCTCAAATATCTGTTTTGTAATTATAGTCTTGTCCTTCTGATGTCCCCTCCCCCCCAAAATAAGTTAAATGCACTCTGACCAACACTGTAATGCACTGGTAAGTATTTTTGCCGTCAGCCACTGACGAGCACAGCAGCACCTTTATAACTCTTTATTTCCATTGCGACTTTAGAAACAAATATGAGTAAAGTGTGTATTTTAATGTGATTATTACAGAAGTTATTTGTGATTTGCATATAAAAAGATATCCATCCTTAATGGAATTTTTTACAGATTGTATAAATGTGATATGGTTAAGCTAAGTAAGTGCAAATAGGAAAAATTATAATCTGCACATATCCTATTATTCCATATCACCTGTGTGTGTGGTGATGTTAGGATAAATACTTGGAGGGTGCAGCTACTAGTGAGATATTAAGACAAAAACAAGGTGACTGAAAAGTAGCAATCTGAGTAATGTTACAGAAAAATATCAAAGTCTTTGAATCTACATTTTAAGTAAATTAAGCGGGGGGTTTCTAAGTGTTGATGGTCCTTGTGAAAAGGGTCCTTTTGAGAGAGGACCCCAAATCCCTGAAGTGGTTGTATCTACTCCAGACTACCAGAAACTGTCCCACTGGACATTTATTTTACACATGTGGCATAAATGTAATACATTAAAAAACATTAGGGTCCAAAAGGTTGGTTGATATTGTGTTACACAATAAGTTTATCAAAGTTACTCTCCTTGTCACATTCCTTTTAGGACATTTTGCTCCACAGCACAAATAGGAACCTGTTCTTTATTACCATATAAATATTTTATGTAAAAGAAATAGTGTCAGGATTTGTCTTTTTAAATGTTTTGAGCATATCTTAACCCATTAACATGTGAACTGATTTTTACCTAAACTGTGACTGATATAATACTGTGTCGGAACTTGAAGTATTAATAAATGAACTTGAGAAAACTGCCCTTTTTTGCAATATATAAACTCAATGAGAATGTATCTAGTGTGCATGCAGAATAACGTGAGCACTGAACGAAACATTAAAGCAAATGGCATTCACATATTTTTATTAGAAAAAAACACTACTGTGCAATCATACAAATCAATTCATCTCCTGGGACTGAATGTAGGGAATGTTGTTTCCTTGGTGGCAGCATTGACTCCCATCTCGCCTGTGGGGAGAAATCAAGATGTTAAACGGGATCCCAGAATGGTAAATGGTAAATGGACTGTACTTATATAGCGCTTTATCCAGTCTTTAAGACCCCTCAAAGCGCTTTACATACTACATGTCATTCACCCATTCACACCCATTCATACAGAGCAGTGTACCTTACTCTAGGACCTAACATTCACACACATTCACACACCGTTGGCCATGCCATCGGGAGCAACTCAGGGTTAAGTATCTTGCCCAAGGATACATCGACATGTTGACTGCAGGGGCTGGGATCGAACCCACAACCTTCTGGTTGAAAGACGACCACACTCCCTCACAGCCACAGTCGCCCAGTCGAAGTAAAAGTTTGGAAAGAACAGACCTCTGAATGCAAAAAACAGATATATCAAAGTGCTGAATCATCTTAGGTCAACATTACCTCTCCAATCATTCTGGAGGGACTCTACTCCAGCTTCTTGGGGTTATTGACTGCAACATAGTGGTACAACACAACCAGCAGGAACAATGACACGCCAAGCATGTTGGCAAATATGGCCAGCTGCACGTCCGTCACCATTCTGCAGGGGAAACGAGACATATAGTGAGGCGTTAGAAAGCTGCTTGGTATTACTGTATTACCAGAGGTTAATAGGATATCTTTCTTTTTTTTTCTTTCTTACAAACATGTATAATAGGGCTTTAGTCAAAAGCAGCTAAGGATCAAATGTGTGCATGCTTTTACTTAGTTTACTTTGCATCATTTGTGTCCAATCCACAAACTTAAATACACATAGTATGGCCTTCCAGTTACTTGCTTACATCCATTCAAGTTACATTATACACTTTAATTTTATAATAGGAATAATTTGAGACAAGAAAAAAATATACACATCTCTAGCATGTATAGCTGTACGCTAGCACCTGACATGCACTAGATGCTGTCACTGAACACACAAAGCACAACATCGATTAATTCTGCAAGTGAATATTTTGTACATTAATCAGAATATTATCGATTTATTGTTGCAACCATTAATTTGTCAGGGATAACATGGTTGTAAACCAAAAGTACCAAATTATGCTAAATCTGTGTAACATTAACCTAGCTAGTAAGCTACTAGTGCAACCAGCGTTGTCTAAACTAACCCATATAGGAACCATATAAAGCTTCGATTAAAATTACAACATTAAACATATCGCAATGAGTTTTAACTCATGCTATTACTTACATTATGCCTGAAATTGGGCTTTTACTCTTGGTTCAAGCGATACTTCAGCTGCTCAGCATCAAACAGGCAAATCAGTCACTTACTTCCGGTTGAAGGGGAAAGCCACGTCACGTTTAAGAGCATCGGAAATATGAAGCAGAACTCTGATAATTAAACACAAATAAAACTCTGACTGGACACATCAACAAATATTATACATAAATTAATTTTGGGTGACAATATGATTCATTAAAAATGATGTCATCGTGAAGTGTACAGGATATGATTATTTGTATTTTTAAAAAAAAGAAGTTTTTATGGCAATCATCCAGGCCAGAGGTGGCAGTAGTGAGTTCCGGGCAGCTGGGTGTTTGGGCTCCGTAGGAGTGGCTCAAATGTTTCGACATCACCTCACCCGGCGTGAACGACATCGGCCAAGCTAGATGGTACTTCGACACGGCAGCTAACGTTGGGGTTTACATTTCCAGAGGAAGAGATCTCCATTTACTTCATTGTGGAGCCATACTGTACGTTACCACCATGGCTCTTTACGAATATGTCACTCAGGACCAGCTGGCGGGCTTCGACAAATACAAGGTAGGGGGAATATCGTAGTAGCCTGCTAGCAACTAGCCATTGGACCGACAGTGCGTGTGTGTTTTACAGCTAGCTGTCACGATCTGCAGGGTGCTCCCCTGGCAAGGAGTGTGTAAAGGTAGCCAGCGTAATCTCAAACCATACCAGATACTGCCCAAACTGCCCTGGAAAATAAAAGCCTGATTAGGTATAGCTACAGTATGATGTGTTTAGGTTCATTGTACGTTGCTATGGCTATTATGCTGTTTGATTGGTTGTCCTCTCTAAACGTTGATTGGGTAGAGTTTAAGTTTGGAGTTAAACAGTAAAAGGCACCTTGTAGATGGGAAATGTTTCCTGCGTGGTGCTTGAACTCTAACTACAAGGTTGAATTTCTGCCTTCAGAAATATTGTACACCCTATTAAGTCTGGCAAATAAAAGACACATACATACTATTCAAATGTCTGAATTGTTCGATAACATATTGACGAACTTTTTAGTTTGAAAGATCCGGCCGGAAGTCTTGTTTTTGTGCCATGTTTTCCTTGACATTGGAGCAAGTGTGCTAACAGTTAGCTTGTGACTCCTTGTCTTTGGCTCTGAAATAAGGCTGTACTTTCTGTTTCCTCACATTTCAGACACCCCACGTCTGTTTTCTCTTTGTATATAATGCCAGAAGCTATTTGACAATCACTTACATGCAACCACAGAAGATACATTAAACCAAATGACAGTTGGCTGTTGTTTTGAATAAGTAATGGCTAAACACTCTACTTTTACCAGCACATAGTACTGTACAAGTGAAATTAATACGTGTTCTATTAATTCCAGCAACCATAGCATGGAATTGATCAAATTCTTTAAAAAGATCTCATCCTCTCTGCCTTACAGCTAAATGTTGGTGTTTAGTTATTTCCCATAAAGATGAGCATCAATGTGGCAGTACAGACACAAAGAGCCTTTTGTCCTGTCTCTTGCAATGGAGGACTGTAGAAAACAGGAGTGGAAGCAAATGATCTTCTAACACATTGCAATTTAGTTCTGATAATGGGGTTTAAGTCTTACCTTAGCACTGTGCATGTATTAGTTTATAATATATAACGTCCTTCTTTAAGTTTACACACACGCCATAAAGCATTTCAGATTGAAAGCCTTTTACCATTTCCACAAAAAAATCCTCATTCATTGTAATGCTTTGCCACTCTTTTTAGAGCAACAGATTTCTTTACTTTTTTTCCTTGTCATGCTCTTTGTCCAACTGTAGGTCATTCAGACTTTCTCTAACACAGCCTCCTTTGAATACCGCTTTTCCAATTTGTTTATCATGCAAGACCCTTTTTTTCCAATAATTGCTTTTTGAAGTGTCTCACTCGTGTTTGGCACGAGTATCTCTAGCTGAAGGAGGGCAGAAGAAGACAAATGTCAGTTAATGAAAAAACCCTCTTGACACAGTGTTTCTATTCATGAAAGGTGCACAGACACAAGCTTACAAATAGAGAACGAAGGACTGTCTACTGATTGTGCCACTACACCTTTCAAGCTGTCACCCATCGTTCCTCCTCTCACTTCCTTTGTCACACCTCCTACGGTCCTACCTCAGTTTGAAAATATCTTGTACTATCTACTTGCGTGAACCTGCTTTCATTTCTACAGTTTGTAAAAGATTAGAGTAGATTAGGGCCCAACACTACATGTTCTTGCGTATGTGGTGATGAGTAATCACATTGGTTATCTTGTTGATTTGAGGAACAACCCACAACATCATGACTCTCTCAATCAACAGGGGACAATCTAAATATAGTGTTTGAGTGTTGTCAATAGCATCCATAATCCATAATAATTAAAGGGACAGTTCATTTCAAAATCTAAAATACACACAATTAATTTGACCTGTAGTGCTATTCATCAACGTAGATTGTTTCGGTTACTCAAGATAATCTACAGACCTTTTTGTGTGCAGTTTCATAAAGGAAGTACTTTGTTTTTACTAAACTACACCTCCCAACAATTGAGTGTGTTCAAGAGGAAATGTGCGTTTTTTTCTTTTGGGCAGTGATACAGTTACAAGTGTAGTTTGGTAGTTGAAAATAGTTCATACATGAATCTGCTCGAATAAGGTCTGGACAACACAGTGGCATGGTTTCTAGAAAGAGACATCGCTGTTGAATTCTTCAAATGTTTTGGTTGGCCAAGTAGTGCCATATCGTTTGATTATATTTGAGAGATGGCTGAAATCTCCATGGCTGATGTCTCTAACACTCTTCCATTTCCAAAAAACATCTATAAATCCAACAACAGATAAGAGGAAAAATATGTATCTTAGATTTTGCGGTGAAATGTGCCTTTTTAATTTAGAAAAATTAAATGTATTGGATGATTCTTTTGCAGACCCCGCACAATCGTGTGTACTTGGTGGTAGTAGTGGTTAATTTTAAACACCAGAGAGTCTACTGAATAATTAAACATATTGTAGCCACCTGAAAGGGCAGATCCCAGTGCCCTTCCAACTAATCTCACGGCAGAAGTGAGATCTCAAACTAAAATAAATCACAAAAGAGAGCAGTCCAAGAAGACTCAGAGCCAACGTTTATTCCTCAAAGACTCAAAAACCTAACGTCTTAAATGGTTTGTACACTGGAGAGGGTGCCTTACGCTGTAGTACGCACACCGTTTCGTCATGCCTGGATTGAATAACAGCGACAGGGATCAGGTTTCTTTTGATCTGCATGATGACAGGCCACCAAAATATCCATAAATACCCAGGTCACATGTGAGGTCACGTGACCCTGCTGAATAAAATAGCCTAATTTAAAAAATGAATCTTTTGCATTATGTGTTGATGGTCACATCCTGACTGATTGAGTATGTCTCTTACAGTACAGCGCAGTGGACTCGAACCCCCTGTCTGTGTACGTCATGCACCCTTTCTGGAACTTTGTGGTGAAGGTGAGAAACAACCTGTGTGTGTGTTTGTGTGCATACATAATTCATGAGGTTTCCAACGTTCTGCTGTGATACAGTAACAACACAGCTCGCCACTTTATACTTATTTTCTCTGATCTAAGGCTGTACCGAAAAGTCAAAAGATTCCAAACTTGATTCATAACACCCAAACATTCAAACTTCCTGCAGCTCTTTTTTGGTATGCTTATTCATTCTGTTTAAATCATATTTTTTTTTTTTTTTTTTTATTAGATTCCTGTGTAGGATTGTTCTTGTGATTCTAATTCCAAAGAATGCAAGTCAAAATGTAATGAAAAAAAAAAGATGTAATATGTTCCAAAATTCACAACATGTTTTTGTCAAACAAAATATTCTGCTTGAATCCTTATTTTTAATCGGTATTCTGCTTTTTCTTTTTTACTTTTTGCTCTCCCGCTTGCCATACACAAAGGAGGCAGGCACATTTATTAACTAAAAGCACCATAAATCCCATTTATACACGCACATGAGAATTTATGATGATGACACTGGTGAGTTATATTCATAAAACAAGTGAACTCAAGGACTCCACTCATTTAATCTGATGAGTCACTGTAAAAATGTACGATGGAAATGTAAAGCTTTATTTGAAAACCTCAATAGAGGCTTTGCATGTCTATTTAAAAAAAGACATTCGGTACAGACTTAATCAGCATACATTGGTCTTTACTGTGTTGTTTTGAATGTGGACAGGGTTTTATCACGCTGTGTGTGATTTTATATGACGTAGGGCTGCTCGATTATGGCAAAAATCAATAATTGATATCACGATTATTAAAAACGATTATCCATTTACTTTGAAAACATCCATTTATTGAAAAAATAAATTTGAACAGTATGTTTTTAACAGTTGATTAGCCTGAACTTTAAGTATAATAAATAAACCAATAAAATAACAAAATTAATAATAATAAAATTTAAAAAAAATCTTTTTATTTCGATTATGTTGTTTTCATAATCGTTTCAGGCCAAAATCGTAATCGCGATTACAATACGATTAATTGAGCAGCCCTAATATAACGGTGACGGTATTCATCACTATTCAGTAATTGTTCTGTAAATTCAATTGATAAATGGTTTAAAATTACCATGCCCTAATTCATCACATTTGATAATTTTATCTAAAAATAAGCATAACTTTAGGCAACAATTTGCTGACAAAAAAAACTTTTTTAGTCATTCTGTTAGCAACCCTGATGATGGGTTTGCAAACTTAGGGGTTAGGACTTCCTTCACTCTTTGCCTTATTCAAACTGCCAGTGTCAAACTGCAAATATATGAATATTGCAATTCTTATATCAGTTGAACATAAGTAAATCACCATTATGGTTCCAGAGATGAATAGGGAAGGAAAATACATGTATTTCAGTGAAAAATGATGTATGGCATTCATACATCATTACATCTTCTCTGCCTGACTGCGACCTTATATAAATTGTCAAAAAACTACCATTCCTGTCCTGAAGGCATCTCTGCTTTACAGTTACATAACTCTCCATAAAGTGTTCCTACAATAATTACTGTCTAGTTTTTAATCAGTGTCATTATTCTGATGAGAAGACTCTATTTTAAGAGCCAAGTGACATGTTAATTAACCGTTACTCACTATCTCTTTGTCTCTGTTCGTTTTTTTTTAACAGTTTCTACCAACATGGTTGGCTCCGAACCTCATTACATTTACGGGCTTTATGTTCCTTGTGTTGAATTTCCTTATGTTGGCCTTCTACGACTTTGACTTCACTGCCTCTGGTAGGTCCTCTGTGCTTTCTTCTGTTTCCCTGTAGTTGTGTGACTAAAGCCTGAGGGAGTGTTGTTCAGTTAGTAAAACATATAATGCTGGTGGGATACACCCAATCTGTTTGGAAGGTGACGAAAAAAATGTGTGTTCATCCAGCTTGTTTATGAAAGGCAAAGTCCATCACTTTTTAAAACATGGATGCCTATGGTGACCCAGGGCAATCACTCACTCATTACATTTCTACACACACACCCTAAGACACACATTCACACACTGTTTCCAGGAGTCATTCAAGAATAGACTAAAATAAACTAAACACAGAACACAGCTCTTTTCATCATTATTTTAAAGCCATATAGTTACACCTACATCATATGGTAAAATGGTACAACGAAAAACAAATAAGCTTTAAAAACCTCAGATAAACTCAAAAGGGTAATTGTCAATCCGAGGTAGAATGTAACAGTTAAACCTTATTATGGTCTTTACATAGTTACAAGCACTTTGTTCAACATTTGTAATGCTGAATTACATTTTAAAGTATTTTCAGTATATTCAGGACTCCATTGCTTAAATAAAAGTTCTAGTGTGTTAAACCAGATTATAGTGTTTTAAAATGTATGTTTTCATTAGGATTTCTTAATGTAACATTTGAATATATGTAGCATATTCCATCCTCTCCTTTTGCCTGTCTTGAAGCCTAAATGTCAGGAATTCAATGGAACAAATCATGACTCTATGACCCTTCTATCCTATGAGCTTTACTTCAATACTATATTTAAAATGACTTTCTGTAACTATCAACTCCTAATTTGGGTTTCCAGGAAACTGCATCTAGCTTTCACTTTCTCTCTGGCAAGATGGCATCTTCTTCCCTGAAAGTCTACTACAGTTTCCTCCAGCACTCCAGTCTCAGTGATATCATGTCCTTTCTAAACCTAAAGAAGTTAAACATTCAGTGAGAGCTAATTCTGATAAGTTGTATATTAATTGAAAGTCTTTTTAACCTTTAAATTAGACCCTCTTCATCTCTGTCTGCTGATTGGACCGTCTAGCTTTTTTCTTTTTTCTTGTTTTACTATTGTGCGTTAGAAGTTTGGTTTGGTTAAATTACACCTTTTCTTTAGAAAGTGCAGTTAGTTTTTCATTCGATGCATGAGGTGCTTTTTGATGATACCATTATTATATTTCTATTTTTTAACATTGACTTCCATATTTTATTCATATATCTATTAAAGCAAAGAGTAGCAGAACCAAACTTTGTAAGTACAGGTTCATGGTTTGCCATCAAAATATGCTGCTCAGTTCTTATTGGATAGAATTGTTTGAGTTCCCTTAAATATTACATGAGATCATTTCTAACCAGAGTAAATGTTGACACAGTGAGAAAAGTGATAATGGATGTGTGTGATGTACGTCTTTCTGCTCCTCTCTGTGGTGTTCTGTATATTTACATTATGTGTGTCTCAGCTGCAGGACATGAACACGTGCCTAGTTGGGTCTGGGTTCTTGCAGGGTTCTTCAACTTCTTGGCCTATACACTGGGTGAGTCCACCCCCCACCCCCCCACTGCTGCCCTGTGTGTTGTTCTTCTGTGACATCTGAGGGGCTCAGGGGCAAATTCTTGCTAAAGGAATGCACTCTGTACAGTGACTCTCTGAAACCACACGTGTTTGCCGTCCAGTATTACAACCCCTCTGCTAGGTTATTATTTTCTTAGATAAAACTGTGTGTGGAAATGTGGTTGTTTACTAGGGATATACACTCTTGTAGTTATCGTCAATATCAACAGGATGCCACATTATCAATCAGCAGGATTATCATTAGAATAAATTGGTTTGCAAAGATAATTTGAAATGAAAAAAAAAAAATACAAAAACTTTAAAGCTATCTAATCAATTTGCAGGTTTTATTAAGCCTGCCTTGACTGATCAGCTAGGTCACTTGCTGTTAACAGAAACCAGGCTCTACTGTTTTATTTTAAGCTGCCCGTATGTGCGTGTTATCAGAAAGGAGTTGCTTGCAGAAGGGGGTGTACCAAATGTTCCATTAATGCAGCTTTAAATAAATGTAAAATTGAGATTGTTGTTCTCCAGGCAAGGAATTTAAAAAGCTTAATTTCCAGAGTGTTTTTGTCTAAAAATGTCCATATTAACAGGCCCTGAATAATGGCTATCATCATTAGGCACATGGGACATGGCATTTTTTACTATTGTTAACATTCCTTTTTAATAATTCCAATATAATTGCAAGAGGGGCAAACTGAATTTGATCATTTATACGTATCTATTGCTATCACATAGGTAGTGCCACATTAGTCAAATGTCCTCTCTGTTTGTGTTTAGTCTCGTGTGAGCCAGGCTGAAGTCTGTTTTAAATCTTGCCAACCATTTTGTCAACCTTTAAAAATAAAACATGGCATTTACGTGTGGCTGGAATTAGCGCAGTCTAGTAATGATGAATTAAGACTCTTTATGTTCCTCTATTGATGTGCTCATGTATTGTACTAATGATCCATTTTCTTTTTTGGTGTAGATGGAGTTGATGGTAAACAGGCTCGCCGCACCAACTCCTCCACGCCTCTAGGAGAGCTGTTCGACCACGGCCTGGACAGTTGGGCCTGCATCTTCTTCGTGGCGACCGTCTACTCTATATTTGGGCGTTTGGAAAGTGGTGTGGGCGTGGCCACTCTGTACTACATCCTGTGGGTGGTGCTGTTCTCCTTCATCCTCTCTCACTGGGAGAAATACAACACTGGCATCTTGTTTCTGCCATGGGGATATGACATCAGCCAAGTGGTGAGGACACACACACACACACAGTCATGATATAAGGAAGTGGTCACCCAGCCTTCTGATGATTTGACGTTGTGCGTCTCTTTTTCTTTCAGACAATCTCCCTGGTTTACCTGGTCACTGCTGTCGTAGGCGTGGAAACATGGTACCAGCCAATCCTGTGGCACTTCCTCTACAGAGACCTTTTTACCTTCATGATCATCGGTGAGCTGTGATTGGTCATTCTGAATAAAACTAAACTGACTGTGCTACATCACAGCTTTAGTGGCTTGTTTACTTAGTGTGCCTAGTTACAATTACAAACGTTAAAAAAGGGCACAAACTAGAGAAGTGTGTCTCCCTCTTCCACTCCAAACAAACGAAGAAATGTATCTGGGAAAATTGTCATTACTGGCTCTCATACAGTCAAAATGGTGTCAGAGATGACAGAAACGAGGATTAAAAGATCTTGTTCTGTGAATAACATAAGTATAATATAAGCTACAACACACAATTTAAAAATGAATATTTATTTTTTCTTTCAAATGTTCTACAGATAAAGCTAATATCATTAGCATGAATTCTCATGGCAAAATCGTGTATTTACATCTGATTTGTGACTTGTATGATAAAGACAACAGGCTAGCCATTCTCACTCCACCTACAATAATGACTTGCTTCTAATTCCCAGCTTGTTCCTTCACCGTGACCTTACCCATGAGCCTCATCAATGTCCTGAAGTGAGTCCATTTTCCATTAGCCTTTTATTATACAGGAGTTTTGTTTTTTGACACAGCGCTCTAAATTCTTCCCCCTCTGTGGTTTTTCCAGGGCTCAGCGCACTAAGACTCTGAAGCACAGCAGCCTTTACGAAGCCTTCCTGCCCTTCCTCTCTCCCGTCCTCCTCTTCGTGTTGTCCACCATCTGGGTGGTGTTCTCTCCATCCCGCATCCTGGAGCTGCAGCCCAGGATGTTCTACCTCATGGTGGGGACGGCCTTCGCTAATGTCACGGTGAGCTGGTCCTTCACACTCCCTTACAACATGCAATATCTTAATGTTTTTATTTGGGGTGTTAATGTTTGTTTATCCATGTATTTATCTTGCAGTGTAAGCTGATTGTGTGCCAGATGAGTAACACACGTTGCCAGGCGCTGAGCTGGCTGTTGTTGCCCATGACGCCGGTGGTGTTGTTAGCGGTGACCGGCGTGGTCGCCAACGAGTCCCTGCTGCTGTATCTGTGGACTGCTGCTGTCATATTAGCACACATACACTTCGGTCTTTCAGTGGTAAGATCATCCACGCTCTGTTAAGTGTCCCGTAAACCTGTAGCTACAGCTAGCAGCCAGTTAGCTTAGCCTAGCTTAAATAGTCCAGACAGGGCTCAAAACATAAATAAAACGTTTTTTTGTCTTGTTTGTTTAAAAAAGTACCAACAAAATATTCGATTTTACATTTTCCACATTGTGATGTTTCAGACTTTTTTTTGCTCTTAGTGTGAAATTAGAAGAAGCAATAAATCGTCTGGAACATTACCATCCAAACGTGTGGATTAAACAAACAATATTTAGTGTGCTAATTTTGGATTTTTGTTTCATTTGAATGCAGCCAGGCTCAAGCGGTTTCACCATGTTTAGTCTCTGTGCTAAGCTAAAGTAAGCCAAGCTTAGCGGCCGCTGGCTGCCTCATTTAAAGGACAGATGAGACAATGGAATCAATATTCTTAGGCAGAAAAAAAATACATAGTTCTAAATGTCAATGTCAAACATGTAAAACCTTTACAATGCAGACCTAGTTGGTGTTTTATTTTCATTGACACTAACAATTTCAATACCTTGGGCTTCAAGACAAACAACCGTCATTGAATTACCTTTCTAGGTCCTATGCTGCTAAATGTTTTTTTATAAACACATGACTAACATAAAATACAATATTATTTTTCTTTGCTAGGTACAACAGCTAAGCAGCCACTTCGGCATCTTGGCTTTCTCCCTGAAGAAGCCCAACACTGACTGACAGGAGGAGGAGCAACGAATCGGCTTGAAAGCAGCAGAGGTTTAGGCTCCTCCCATCCTCCGCTTATCGACACTTCACTCTCGTCACCACGGAAACCACATCCCCTTGCCTCCTCCATCTATGAGGACACTGCAAGTGGAATGGACTGCTTCCACTGTCCCCAAACACACACAAAAACACACATACATGCACACACATTCCCAACAAACTAACCAACCAAACTCTGGTCTCTGCGCTGGAGGCGGGCCCAGGGGTTTTGGCTTCCGTCATTGGTGATTGGCTAACTTGGTTGAGCCAATGAGGTGCAATTGTTTCCTGCGGAAATGTGCTTCAGTCATGAGGACAGGAGCCATGAAAACACATGCACACACACACACACACACACATACATATTACTCTGCTTTCATGCAGATAATTTATATCTGGTGGCAGGTATTTCAAATAAAAACACAGCCACACACAAACTAACTGTTGCACTCACATAGTATTATGAATGTATAATATGCCTTGGGGAAACGCCATTTAAGTTTTATTATATTAACAGGAATGCCTCAAGTAGTGTTGTTTTCAAACCTGACCAAACCTGTAAATTGTGGCTCGTAGATCAGAGCTGTGTCCAGAGTTTAGAGGTTCAGTCACCTTCTTCATCATGGGACGATTTTCAGTCGGAATTCCCAGCGATATATGTTAATAGCTATAAATATATATACTGTATGTGTTAAAGGGTTCGGGGCATTTTATTTTCAAACAGAAATGAAACTTTAAAAAAGAAGAAGATAACTCCTGTGAAACATTGTATACATTTCTCTCTAATTAATTCCGTGTTCTGCTCTGTGACGGCGGTTCTGATGAGTAACAGAGTTGGATCGTGACTAACCAGGGCAGGAAGTGACCAGGGTGACCGCTGACCTTTGAACTTTATTAACCTTTCCACTTGGACCTCTGACGGAGCACTGGCCTCCCGGCTACCCCTACCTTGAGGTGTCGTGTCTTCATGCTGATTCGTTTATTTAATTTTTTTAAATATGTTTGATAGCTTTTTTTTTTAATCTGTTGCCATGGCAATGGTTTGTGGATCAGTTGTGCATCGCTTGAATGAAGAGTGTGTTCAAAAGCCGTTACCGGAGCGGACTCACTCTGAGGGAACAAGCCGTCGCACCGCTCACAGATTTTATCACATCTTTTTTTTACTGTCAGATAATGTTGTGCTTCTTTATTCTTCAGTCTGTTAAACACTTAATTTTTTCTGTGTGTGTGTCATAGGATGTTTCCTTGGTAAAGTTGCATATTGAGCTGTGGCAGACTGGACTTTGGTTTGACATCAAACTGTTTTTTCACTGCCGGGCCAAATCCCATTTGACAAGGCTCACCGATCGTGTTCGCTTCCCAACAAAGACTGTTTGTCCGTAGCTTGGAGGAAATACTTTCTTTTATGTGTAACCCAACTCCACTTGGTTTAAAAGTCTTGTCTTTCTTCACGGACTTTCCCATAGTTGTTGACATACTCTAGGAGAAAAGTCCCCGCTGCTTCTTTCAAGAGACTCGCATTGCCAAACTTGGCCGGATTGATGCCTTATGATCAATGTGGAGTAAAGATTGAGTCTGCGTCCACCCCAATTCAGGCATGTCACTTAAAGACATGTTTGAGTGGCACTCAATGGCTCATTGATTAGCGGTTACCTGATCGGACGGATTTGTTGTAAATGCAGCTCAAGGGATTTAGTGTTCCACGAGTGTCTGCTTCACCTATATACAATTAAGTCCATAGAGTCTGCCGGGCCTCTGGCTCACATTTCAAGCCCCAATTTTACCGCTTTAAACACACAAAAAACCCGGGGCAACCAGTCGACTAAACATCTGTTTCTGAAGGACAACTGTAAAAATGAACCACAATAACAACTCTTGGGAAAGCCTTATGAACAGCATTTGGAGTTCTGTCATGCCAGTCTGAATATGAAGTCACAGTAATAATCTTCTATACATGAAAGTGTTGGGATAATTAGGACTAAAAGGTACATAGGAAACATTAAATACACTAGGAATTCAAATACAAAATGTACTTGGAGTTTAATTCTACTCCTACATTTTTACCACAGTTTTGTATATAATTGAGCAACACTGAACATTTGATTCCAGCCTTGTTGTAGTGTTCCAGTATGATGACTGGGAGGAACCAACTCTACTGCCATAATACCCAGTAAAGTAGCCCGGGTTGCTTTGTAGCACTCCTGCTCTGCAGCTGGGGAACGCTCTCTTGCAGTCATAAGCACATAAACAGTATATAGGAATTTGATTTGCCCCACATTTGTGACTTTGGAGACTATTGATGAGAGATTTCACAACCAAACAGTTATTTTGGTGGGTACATGCGCTGTCTATGTATGTGCAGATCTATGTGTCTGTTAATGTATGGGTGGATATCTGTGTAAATACATATATTATTTCCTCATTTTTATTTTGTTTTGCAAACTACAAATGGGATCCTTATCCAGTTTCCTCCAAACGTCTGATTCCAACACTGCAAAGCTACAACTTTGTCTTGGTAGTCCTTTGTTTCTTGTTTTGTTTTTTTATGTTTGTTTATCTTTGCTGCTCTACTGGCTGATTGGGATCTGGTCTTTTCTTTTGGAAATTATTTCAGAAGGGAAGGCGAAGACCTTGAGAACAATCGGTACAAACAACGCTAAATGCAACAAGGGATTTTGTGTCATATCATTAGGAATATTTTATTTGGGTCAGAAAAGAATGCCATTTCAAAAAAACATGTAACATTTCAGACGGAATAGAGCAGCAACAACGTGTAAATGGACAGAGAAATAATCGTCAACTATTTTGATAATGGCAAAACCTTCAGAAAATGCCGTCTCCAGCCTCAGATATTTTCAGCTTTTTACCGTTTTAATGTCATCTTATTCTGAATATCTTTGGGTTTTTGACTTACGGTACAAGACATTTAAAGACATCACATGTACTTCGAGAAACTGGGATGGACATTTTTGACTAGTTTCTGATATTTTATAGATCAAATGATTAATGGATTATTTAAGAAAATAATTGTTGCAACTCTAGCTGCACCGACCATAAAACGAATGAGATACTCATCCAGTCGTCAAGGGAATTTACCAGTTTATTTTCTGAGCAAATTTTCTGGGCACTTTTTGTAGTGTACTCCTCACATTCACTCATTATATTGTAAGAAAACGGTCTGAATCGCCCTGGATCAACAAACAAAGCTGTTGAAATTGTGATAAGTTGTTGTTTAACGCTGCCCTGGCGAACACTCTGAGCTTCGGTGTGGCTACTTGTGATGTTGTATTTAACCAGTGAAGAAAGAACGGTCCAGATACAAATAAAAGAGAATTTTCTTTAACCACTTTACTGTGTCGCAGCCTGACTTGACCTTTAGTAATGAGTTTTTACAATTTTGAGTACATCTAAAGTTCCTTGTATATCATTTAGTGCAGGGGGTAATAAAAACATATATATTGTATAACTGAAGGGACTTTTTGAGAATACACATTCTTTAATACACTTTTTGAGAATACACATTCAGTGTCAAAAATATGCAAAAAAATGACATGTCAAAAAAATATAAAAAATAACGACATATATCATACAGGGTTCTCACGGGTGCTGGAAATCCTTGAAAATGCTCGAAATTGTACGAGGTGTTTTCAAGGTTTGAAAAGTGCTTACATTTTGGGAATGGTGCTTAAATTTGGGATAAAGTGCTTGAAATTGTAAATGCTTGACTTCGTTTTTTAGATGAAAAGAAAATAAAGAAGTCGGAGGGCGCTTAATTGCTTCGCTTTTACATAAAACAGCTCCGCTCCAGCCCTCCCGCGCTATGTGCGTGACCTGCAAGTGTTTTTGTTACGTGTGACCTGGGGCCTCATGTATAACGCCATGCGTAGGATTGACGTGGGAAGGTTGCTTACGTAGTAGAAATCCGAAAAATAGGTCCATACATTTTCCGCCACTTTCCGATTCACCAAACATTGTGTACCGGCGAGGAAAGTGCGTATGGTACTTCCTACGCCTGTTTCCCTTTATAAATCACAACCGACTCGAAATGTGGTGAAGCTTTTGCGGGCTTCACGTGACGCCCATGTTTGCCTATAAATAGGCAAAGAAACGCCCTTTCATTCATTCATTTTGACTGACTGCGTGAGAAAATCGCAGGAAATGACGACAGAACAGCTAAAAAAAACCTCTCACATCGTGTCAGATTTTGGTTATTTTGGGGAGGTTAAGATAAATCATATTGTTTGGTGGATGCAGTTTGAACCAGAGTAGCAGCATGGAGGTCGTATCGTCACCAAAATAAATAAATAAGTGGTCCGAAAAAGGTTATAATGGAACAAAAAAATACACATAGCCTTCCTCAGGCCGTGTGTTTGGTACCGGGGACAGGACCGACCCCCCCCCCCTTGATGAGAAACTGTAAGAAGTGATCGGGGGA